GAAGCTTTGTGCGCACTATACCCATCTTCGTGGAGGGGCGGACTGAGCCCATCATCAATGCCCACAAGGAGATTCCAAACCAGAATGCTCCGCCCAGTGCCCAGGCCCAAGCTCAGGCTCAGGCCCATGCTTCTGCACAGGCTCAGGCCCACTTCTCGCCACAGCAGTCGCGTCCAACGCCACTCAATACTCAGCAGCAGCAGCAGCAGCAGGCGGCGGAGCAACAGTTTCCGGCAGATGGAGCCGCAGGGCTGCCACCCCAGACGCCCCACACTCTCGATTCGATCAACAAGATTCAGGACATCCAGCGCGACGTGCTCGACCTGATGACCAAGGTAGAGCAGTTCAAGGGCATGCGGCAGGAGAAGGAGTATGCCTACCTGGACGAGATGCTAACCCGCAATCTACTCAAGCTTGACACCATCGACACAAACGGCAAGGACAGCATTCGTCTAGCCCGCAAAGAAGCCATTAAGTAAGTGCTGTCATCTCCTGATCTACCGATTCTACATTACTAATCAATCAATCCTCACCCTTTCAGATGCATTCAGGCTTCTATAAATGTGCTGGAGGCCAAGGCCGAGGAGAACGCTAGGCTGGCGGCAGGTGTAGAGGCTGGGGCTCCCCAGCTCACCGAGCAGGCGGCCACAGAGGCTGCCACAGAGTTGCAAGAGCCACTGACACCACAGCCACAGGATGCTACAAAGATCCAAGAGCCAATCCCTCTGCCTCCGCCACCAAGTGCTGTGGAGGGACTAACTTCCAACACCGCATTGGAGGCTCCACCAGCTGCAGCCGAGGCGGCTCAAACCGTCTCTTCGACTGAGACAACCACCTCGACGTCCGAATGATGAACAGAGCGCCTCTACAAGGCGACCACCACATCGAGGCAGCTACGCAAATTAACCAAATTCAAGTGATGATTGGGCGGGAGACAGCGACGACAGCGAGCAGAGAGGGAGGGAGGGAGGGAGAGTTTTGTTTGGAACTTATCAACGGACAGCGTAAACTTGATTGATTAAACGGCATGTGAAGTGAATGTGAATACACGTATCTTTGATAGTGTTCCATGCACAGATACATATATCCACATACGTACTACATACTGTATATGTATATACTATAAGCATGCAAATCTCATGTGACATAACAAAGGCATCAACATCCAGTACACCCACCATCCTTCATACACCACATGGTACATTTCGTACACCCGCATAGATTAGGCTAGTAAGGAATTTGATATTGAAATATTGACAAAACAAAAGCAAGTGCCTGCATAGAGAATTTGAAAGTTAACAAACCGAAAACGATTTAGCAACGATTTATATTAGATAACTCAGTGGCTTGACACTTGAAAGAGCTGATTATGTTTAAGCGATGGAAGATCACGACTATCCGAGTCCAGTTTCTATAATCATTGTGCAAGAAGACAACTGCGAAACGGAAGGGAACGGAACAGCGGCAAGCAGGCAGTATGATCTCATACAAATCCACAGCAAATGGAGCTTGCTGGCTGGCCACACCTCGCCTCTCCGGGCACACCGCTTACACCGCCCGCTTCTTTGCTGCAGTTGAATTGTTAAACAAAGGCAAACAAACACCCACACATACACTTATTGAAAACTCTTATGAATAACTATTTATGCTACTAATTAATACGAGAATAAATGTAGATATTGTTGACCATACCACAATATTGTTGCACAATTATCAAAGTTTATTATCGAAAGGTTACAAATGTCGCTCCATCTAAATACATATACAGAGTCCAGGATGGGCAAATGGGCGGATTGGATTGGATGGGATGGGAGGAATGGAGAGGGGGCTTAAATACTGACTAAGTAGTGGTTTACACTCGTATGCACTCGTATATTAAGAACATTTTAAAAGGACGCAACATGGTTTCGACACTCAAAAGTCAAACAATCGTGTAATCATATAATAATAATAATAAGTATGTATACAGAGGACACAGACGGGGTTCGCATATGTGGCATCGAGTATATATATATATGTAGATGTATGCAATGTACGTTATATAAAGTAGTACTATGTAATATATGTATGTAAAAAACAGACGTGATGCACGATAGAAATCGTCTTATAGTCGTATTTAGTCATCGTTGAATCTCCTCTAGGTTCGGTTCTCTCTGTGCTGCATTATTGTTCAAGAGTTGGGCATAAATGTTAAGTAGTTCTCGTTCCTGTTCCATAAAGTAGGGATGTATGTAGATATCTAGCAAAAAGGTGGCCCAGCTGCTTGGCACTTGGGTCGCTGCTTAGTTGATGATCTCGACATAGTTTGCCGGAAACAGTCCATAGGTTCCATCAGGGCCGAGGCCCTGCCACCATCCCTCATCGATTTGATCGATATGCGTAATGACATCGCCCGGATCGAATGTAATCTCTGACTCATCGGCTGCCTGGTAGTCGTACAGTGCTCGGGCCCGCAGACCCAGATCCCCCAGGCTCTCCTGGCATATGAAGTCGTCCTCGTTGACCAAATCCGTCACTAAAGAAAACGCATTAGTAGGGGGAAACACTGAAACAATGCTTCTGCTTACATGTATTCCTTTCCAAGGTGCTTAGAGCGCCCGTCTTGGTCGACTGCGACTGCTGCACGGTGACAGATACTTTGGTGCGCACCTCCTCCTCCTCCTGATACACCGCCGTGTCCGTCTCATTAGAAGACGTTGTCTCGTCCGGCGACTGCGACTGCAGCGAGTTGGTTTTACTGTGCGGCGATCGTTTTATGGTAGAGAACTGCTCGCTCTCGTGGGCCAGGGGCAAGTCGTCCACTGGCTGTGTCTCGGCCTCCACCTCGGCTATGGTCGAGACAATTTCAGCGGCCACCGGTGCCGCAGCAGCAGCAGCAACAACGGCAGCAATAGCAACGACTGGGGCAGCAGTCTCTACTACTTCTGGCAGTTTGATGGGCGACACAGCGCGTGGTGGTGAAGGCACAGATGCTTCCTGAGGCTGGTTCTGGTTGAACACATTGATTCGCTGGGCAATCGAGTTGCGAGCTGGTTTGGCCGGCGGTTGCGTATTGAGTCTATGAGAAGAGAACGCACTATTAGTATAGGAACCATGGCAAAGGAAGGATTGCTCACTTGGATTGCAGTTGACCCTCGCTGGTGTGCTTGGTGAACATGGCCTTGGCGGCGCCGACACGCGAGCCAATCAATTCTCGGGCCTCCTGGTTACGTGCCTGGCGCATGCGCTCTGCATCCGTCAAATTGTTGCCAAATCCTGGTGCGGTTTTCTCGGGGCTGAGCGGTTGCGGGGAACTACAAGTACAAATGGGAAAAATTTTCACCAAGTTATGGTGTCTAATGGTAGTAAACGTAGTTACGTTTTTATGGGCACATGTGCCGGCTGGAGCTTGGTGGTGCTGATGACTAGCTTCTCCCGTTCCTTGTGCTCCTTTTCCTCGCGGCTGCGAACCTCCTGCTCGAGCTTCTGCAGCTCCACACGTTTGGCATCTTTCTCTGTCTCGAGTCGGCGCTTCTCCTCGGCCTCTTCTTTCTTCCAGAAGTCCTGCATGACGCTGGCATTGAGCTCCTTGGTTGGGATAACACGCGTATAGTTTGTCCCCACCGGTGCCTTCTGCTCTTCCATAGTGCCGCGAGGCTCTTTGAAGCTGTAGGCAGAGCTGACGGCGCTCAGCTTTTTCAGCAGGCGCTCCAGATCGATGTCATCCTCATTACGGGCGTTGATGGTCAGATGGGCACCGGAAAGTAGATTGCTGACGTCTCGTATGTGGTTGGCGCAGGTGCCCTTACGTAGAACAGGTGCGCCTTCGCCCTTCAGCATAAAAAGAAACAACAAGAGCAGCCGGTTAGAGTTTAGATAAGTGTCTGCCGATAAGATTAGCCGTCCTGACTCACCTGCCAGTTGATGAGTAAGTACTTTTTGAGGCCGGTTTTTGGATCTTCAATGCGCACGTAGGCGTACATGATCTTGCCACTGTTGAGGTCCTCGGTCAGCTCCTCCACACCGCCGTCTCCGGAGCCCACGAGCTTCAATTCGTTGGTCTGGCCCTCGTAGCCGAACAGCGCCCAGTTGGTGCCGCTCTTGTCGTCCAGCACATCCTTCCAGGCGGCCATGATTTGCGCGCGATTCTTCTCGAAGCTGATGGCCATGGTGTGGGGTTGCCAATGACCTTGAACAAAGAGATCTCGGCCAGCTTTCACTGGTTCACCTTATTTGGGTGCCTGTGCCTGCGTCTTCGCGTCGTTCGAGTGAAAGCCAACGCCCCGCAATGACTCCAACTCTGGCTTCGGAGTGGCTTAGGTTTTAATTAAATGCACAACTGCAGCCGACTCTCTCGCACACACACAGCAAAACAGCATAGGATAGCGGCCTGGCCTGATTGATTTTCCAGTCTCCGTACCTGCGAATGTCCAGCGGCGTGGATGGTCTTGGCTCCTGGTCACAGCTTCTCCAAGTCACGCGTGCATCAGTGATAAAAAGTAACGGCTGGGCAGCGCTTCCATTTATTTAATTGGCCTAGTGTAAATCGACTTTTAAATATTTGCTCCTACACAGTTTTTGCAAGATAAAATATACCGTCTGACCCTCAGAAACATACTGAAACATACCTACACTTATTTTCAAAATATTTCGGTATATACTGAATTACACCACTCAATACCACAAAATTAATTAAACATGCCATTTATGCAAGTTTCGGTATATTTTTTGGATGTACCCGCAGTCACACTGAATTTGAAACGAAAGCAAATAATTTTCACCTATTTTGCGATCGAAATCGTACCAAAAATAACTAAAACACCGACCAACCAGTGCTGTGCTAAGATAAATCTCAAATAAATTGATTCACTGCCCTCGATATACTCTTCGGCCACAAAAACAGCTGCAGCATTCCGTTACAACAACAGTTTGGAGGCGTCCCAAGGCAAAAGGTAAAGACTGCTGCTGTAAGGCGATTGGATTTTGGATGATTTTGGTAACTGCTGGTGGTGCTGGTGCTGCTGCTGCTGCAGCAGATGCTGGCCTGGCCTGGCCTGGGCATGGGCCTGACCTGCTTGGCAACAATATGGCATTTGTCAGTGATTTCGTTTGCTGGCTGCTGTACTTGGTCATTGCCAAAATTTTCGGCTGCCCCCCGTCTCCGTTGCCGTCGTCGTCTTCCAAACCTGTCCCAACTGCATCGTGCTTGTGCCGCCCTGCCTTCGCCCCCTCGTCCAGTTGGTAACATATGAAAACTGTTTGGCAGCAGGATTTTCGCCTTACTTGTTCCGAAGTCAGTCAGAGAGTCAAAGTAAGAAGTGGCGGCGGCGACGGCGGGCAAGCGTCAGTGTCTTTGTTCAGTTGTTCGTTCCATTTACATATATGCCAATGCAGCCAGGCTCCGGGGCACCGCGATATATCCAGTTTGTGGTGCAGAGATATGTGCATATACTCGCATACGTACGAGCAGTATAATGCACAGATATCTGGCGGCACAGCGGCGCTGTGTGTACGACGTACGTACGAGAGTGTGTGTGTATGGCTCATGGTCAATTTCTTTGCATTTTGCATTTTCAGTGTGAAACTCATGCGGTGCGGATCGAGTCGGAGCAACAGCAGCAGCCCACGTTCATAGACTCCGACATGGAATCAGCGCTGGATGTGCTCTCCAGAGCGGCGACCATGGTCCAGAACAATGCGAGCGGTAAGTAATGAATGTCGAATGTCGGATGGTCATTAACCAATTCCGTTTAAAACAAAAACAAAAAAGAGTCGACATATTTTTATGATGTTAACTTGGCCAAGCAACCAAACAACCAGCGTGTATGTACATCAGTTGGGGGCAGGGGGTTGTCGCTGCCACTCTGCCACTCTTCTTCCTCTTTTATGGCTTTCACCTTTGAGCCCCAACTTGAAAAGTATTTCAACAATGTGTTCTCGTTGCCACTTCTGGTGTGTCATACGGCATGGAGTATGGAATGGAATGGACTGTGGTGAGGTGGGGTGTGGGGACGGAACTGTGGGTAGTCCAGTCTGTGACTCTGCGTCCGAGTCCCAGTCCCATGTTCCATTCCAGATGCATGATTCATGATTGCAACAGGGCCTTGGGACTCCATGACATCTTCTTTGTAAAACGAATCCCCAACCCACACGCAGTGACTCAAAAAAGTATGCGGCTACTACGCATACGCATGCGGCATGCGGCCACTACTGCTCAGGAATCGATGAGAGACCTGAAGGCAGGCAAATGTGTTATTGAGAGCCTCTCGGGGTGGTGTGGCGTGAATGTGTGCATGTGATTAATTATGGCAGGCACTGTGCGTACGCATAAACACTCGACATATCTGAGAAATGTTTTATTTTCGTACAAAAAGGCAACAGAAACATTCCAACAAAATGAGTTTGCGGCGCATTCCAATTCCGATTTTCATAAATGTGTCAAATGCCGCATTTTCGACGACAGCCGAACGAAACGACACACAGACAGATACGAGGTACGTAAGTACGTACCGATATATGTACATATATACATATGTATGTATGTATGTATAGCACATGTATTGTACGTCCGATTCTGTTTCGCGGGTCGCGGATCCCCTTATCAATAGCCAGCCAGCCAGCCAGCCGGGCAGGGCAGTCGCAGTCGTCGCTGTCGTCGTCGTCGCTCCCGCTCTGGCTGACGAGCACGAATTGTGGCATGTCGCCGCCCCTCTCACCAGCACACTCGTGTATGCATTGCATATTTCTGCACTGGGGACATACATATCTTTTATATTTGCAATTTGCATTCCCCATTCTCCCCCCATTCCCCGCACATTCTCTCCCATTGCGCTAAAGCGACAAACAAACGCGACTGCAACCGCGTGACATGCCAAAGAAATGCTCACTACGAGGCGTAAATATGTGTATAATTGCTAAACAAAAAAAAAAAAAAAAAAAAACAATTTGATTAGGAATGTTCATAATTGCACAAATAATGGGCAATGGGTCGGTCGGGGCGATAAGCACACGTTTCTCTCTATCTCTCTCTGGGGTCTGGGGTCGTCCGGCTGCGTTGTTTGGGCTCTGATTTTCCCCCCAGTTTAAGTTTCAGTTCCCGAGCTGCTGATAATGGGGTTCGTCGGGTGGTTCCTCCTCCTCCTCCCACAAAAACAATATGCTACACATATATACATACATACATATGTATGTACATATTTATATATGCAAATCTGTGAAGGGGGAGGAATGGAATGCCGATAGTGGCCTCCATTTCAGTTTATATTTATGCTTGTTTTTGTTTATTTTATTTACCCATTGAGAGGGAGATGGCTTTATAAACGATAATTATGAATATTTGACAAATTCCTGGGGTGATACGTACCTACAGTGAACTTCATTCTAAAGGCTATTATTAATTTTTTTGCTCTGAAAAATGCACGCAAGTAGACGAAAATTGTGCCACCCTGACAAGCAGTCCTTTGATTGGGGACTGTCCGCCATAGGGAAAGTCCACTGTATATTGCGTAAAGCTGTCACCACAGAAGCGCAATTTATGCGAAAACACCCAGACACAACACACCAGACCCCAAAAGTCAGAAGAAAAATGGTTCTGATATTGAAATAAATATATGAATACCGCACGCGATTCTCGAGCGGTTTTAAGCGCTTCCTCCGTAGAATCGTCATAGGGATGCCTGAATCTGGGTGTCCGTGGCTTAGTTATGTGTTCTAAGGTGTCCCTGAGCCGCTGAAGCACACTTTTTGCCAGTGACCAGTGGCTCGGCTCGGCGCGGCTCTAATGGGGCTCGCTCGTCGTCAGTCATGGGATTGATTGATCGGCGTGCGGCAGCCAACTTGAAAATGCAAAATGTCGTTAACCCGTGCATGATTAATGAATTTGCGGCACTCGCAGGAGGCACCACAGAGACGGAGATTCTGTGGTTCTTCATAAATCACACGTAGAAAAGCGGGTCGATCGGCTCAATTCGGTTCGGTTTAGTATTGGATTGGATTGGATCGGACCGTTAATTAAGCTGCCCTTCCATTGTTTGTCGAGGATCGCGAGCGCGGCCAGGCCAGGCCATAATTAATAAACAAATAGTTACACAAATTGAGCGCTGCCCCTTGCCTGCCCCAGTGTCTATGTGTGAGTGTGTGTGTGTGTGTAGCACCATACAAAGAAATATTGTGGCAATTTGGAGCTTAAGTCCAGGCACAGCTGGAGATGCAGCAGCCGCTGAAACCGAAAAAGAAACAGAATGGGATGGGGATGGCTTGGTCGACGGCTCATCGGGTAATTTACATGGCCTTTCAATTCTCCGTTTTAGCCAGTGCCAACTCTGTGGGCCAAACACTCTCTTCCTTTTACTGGCAATGGCCAAACGGTGCGCATAATTGCCGTAAATCTCGACCAGAAGAAAATCCAAACAGCCAAACCAGTTTGCTGCCTGCACTGGGATGGGAATGGGAATGGGGATGGGGTCGTAGTTGTAGTTGTAGTCGTGGTAGGGGATTGTGACTGTGACTGGGCTGGGGATTAGAGTTGGGACTAGAGCATTACCTTTCTTTTTAGTGCTGCTGCTGCTGCTGCTGCTGTGCTAGCTGCCATTTATTTATTTATTTTAACATAACATTTGCCTATTTGCCATAAATTTTCACTCAGCGCGACTTTTGCCGCGAGCAGAGTCGAGTCGATTCGTACAGCGAACAGAGAGCAGAGAGAGCAGCGCGCTGTTTTGATTGCGGCAGCGGCAGCGGCAGGGGCAGGGGCAAGATCAACTTGTTGCCGACAATATCTAAATGAAAGTTGTCTTGGATTAGGATTAGACACTGTCTGTGGCTGTGTGTGTGTGTGTGTCTGTGCCTGTGTATGAGTCAGAATCAGAAGTAGAGCCAATCGCCAATGGCCCATCCACTATTATTGGATACTTTTGGAAATCCGGTCAGGTTCGATCCAATCCGACTAGAAATTTCGGCAAAAATTGTGTATTAAATGTTTTCTCACGCTTGATTTAGCACCGGATGATATTTTATAATGACAACTATATTTATGTTATTGTTAGCTTTGCTATTTTCCATCGCTGCTTCTGCTGCTGCTGTTGTTGTTGTTGTTGCTGTCTTCTATTGTTTTTGTTGCTATTCTGGGCAATCGAAAACCAGTTTCCTCCTCAAATCGCGCGCACGCTCGAATTTTATTTAAATTTTGAACTGGTTTGCCGCTGATTTGTGTTGTCTCCGCGGCGTATATATTATGTACCCACTAGCACTAGCACTAGTCACAGATATTCATATATTAGATTGTTAGATTTCACAAACAACCAACAAACTGGGCCTGGGATAAATTGTCTTTTGATATTCAATATGTTCTGGAAATGGCCGGCCGGGCCATCACAGTGTCATCGGAAGCCAGAGATCGATCTCCCACAAAGCAGAACAATCTCGTTGACTTCCGTACCGCTGCTGCTGCTGCTGCTGCTGCTGCCCATTACACTGACCCAAATCGCCCCAAGCCGCCCCGATCGGAGCGAGGGATCTCGAATTTCTGTGCCGATTTCCAAACAAAACAAATTTCAATTAGCAAAGCATTTTCCGGGCTGTACTTTGATTTCTGTTTCTATTTCTTTTTTCGGCTTCTGTTCTTCTGTTTGCTGTAAACCGAATCTAAGTTGAATCCATGGATACATGGTGCAATATTACATTGCTGGCTTAGCTTGCGGAATGGATATATCCAAAGCAGAAGAAGTTTGAGAATGATGAACAGATGAGCAGCATTATTGGGATGTGATTGGGAAACCTTTCCAGTTGAATATAATATTATCCCCTAACTTGGTACCTCTCTTTAAGCAACTCTTTTACTTAGAGATACATAAATGGGCAAAGGCATAACAGAGGTGGCTTCCCCTTATTTCCCTTTAAAGTTGAAACACACACGAACGCTGCTAAAGAGAATGCCCACGTCCATCGCTGTTTTATAGGGTACTTGCACTTCCATTTAGTTTGAGCAACTCCTCTGCCCGATCATTAGGGGATCGCCTTCATTTAGGTTCTACCTTTTGTCCCCCAAAACTAGCTACACATTGCCCACTTTTCGACTCGTTTTTTTGTGGCTCTTTTTGCTTTGGTCTTCAATGTTTGGGTTTCTGTAATTTGTTGCCATTGTTGTTGGTTGTTGGTTGTTGGCCAGCGGCGGAGGCAGAAGACTCTTCTGCTGCCCCCAAAGCCTGCTGCTGCTGGTGCTGCTGCTGCTGCCGTTGTCTCGCTGTCGTTGTGTTTTTTCGTAGTTTTGTTTTTGTTGTTGTTATTGCTGCCATGATTGCCATTCGATTGACCTCGTTGCGCATGCGTGCGCATGTTTCACGCTACACTACAAATTTTCGCAGCCCAGGCCAGAGCGGAGACGGACGGGCATGAAGCGGACTCCGATGATGATGATGATGAGTAAGCGCCAAAATGTAGGAGGGGTGGGGGGGCTGCCAGACAGAGGAGCAGCCAATCCGTCAGTCAGTCCATAATTTAAGTTTGATTTTGCTTAAGTTTCGTTGTTGTTCGATTTTTGGCCTCTTGGAGCCACGCAACAGAAAATTGCACATTTTTTGACATGGATTAGCAAATGACTGGAAAACAGACTCGCAAAGGAAGAGAAACAAACCAATATCGAACAATCGATGGATCCAGCGATGAGGTGCAACTGGCACTGGCAAAGATCCAAACAGCTGAGATGGG